CCCCAAAACCCCAAAACCCCAAAACCCCAAAACCCCAAAACCCCGGGTGGTGAAGATAGGATTGGTTATTTTAGATGTGGTAAAGATGGGGTTAGGAAATGTAGGAGAGATATTGGTCGATGTCAGACCCTTTTTGGAGGGATTTCTTGAGGAAGGACCTAGCTTTCTTTGCGATCATTACCCATTCTCCTTTGGAAGACTTGAAATGAGTCTCAAGGATTAGGACGGCTAAGATTGTTGTCCAGATCTCATCTATCATTGAGTCATTTTTGACCAAGCTTTCAAGATCTTCTGGAGGACTGTTAGAGAGAAGGTGGGAATACTCTGAGGACAAGTCAGTGAAGTGCCCATCTGGGTCCTGAAACTGAATAAGTTTCTCATATCCTTCTAACTATATTATTATTAGAACTTGCTTTAGCATGATATTTAATTTATGAGAAAATTTGTGAAATATACTTACATTCTTAGCAGGAGTGTATGCCATGAGTTCATTATTTTTAGATTTTTTGCTTTTCTTTTTACGACTTCTGGATTCTTTGTTCATTTCTTTTCTTGAAAAATTGGAATCAGAGCTTCCCAATCATTTTTCCATAACATAATCATCAGAGTCAGAAGAATCTGAAATATTTCTCATTGATGCTTCAGGAGCAGCACACATTACATTTCAATCCATCATCATTTTAGGTGCCCGAGGAGCAGCACATCTTGCCAACATTCTTGGAGCACCTTTTGATTTCATAGATTTCTTCGCTCCTGAGCCTCCTCCGAACATGCCTCCAATAGCTGATCCAACCTTGTTAAAGATACCTGGGGAACTCCTCCTTGCTAGAGGCATGGAAGACTTTATTGCCATACAAGATCCGTAGCCATCATAGAAATCATTCTCTTCCATCTTCTTGATGGGAATTTCTATGGTCTTGAGCTCTTCTCCTGACTTTGTCTTGTTCTTAATCTTCCCGAAGAACGCAGTATGCTCAGACAAAACAGAGTACTTTAGAGATAGAGCAGTTACTTCTTTCTGTATTGATGAGTTATCTATAAATATTGTTAACAAAGATATCCAAGAAATGCAAGAATTGTAACAGAATGTAAACTTACCTGCTTTATATACCTTCTGACTCTTCAACCTTTCATAGTGAACCATGTTATCTCTAGCTGCCAACTTGAAACCAACATCATTATTTTCTTTATCAATGATTTCATCTGGATTTACAGCAAAAATAATTTCTTCTGTTTCTTGATCAAAGGTATTGAAGAATGACAAAGTGATTTCTTCATGAACAAGGTCGACCTTGTTCAGCACAGCATACACATCCAAAATTTCTATACCAACATTAGACACGGTTCCTCCAATATGGCTCATGGTTAAGAGCCCTAACAGCTGTTGACGACAATATACTTACCTTCTTCGTAAATGAACCCAAAAATTGGTTCTCTGGGAACTTCGAACTTGACAGCCTCTGAATTACGACCCCAGTTCATCTGGATGTTGGTGAGAGCTGGCCTGGCTGCTTGGTTCAAAGCTGCAATGACTTTGGCTTTAGTATTTGAGTCGTTGTCTTCGATGAGAGTGCTGGTTCCAAGACCAGCTTTAGCAAGTTCATTGACAAGATACTTGGAAGCTCCTCCACCAATTCCAAAAGAATGAACCCTTCCAAAGTTATTGTGAGATCTGACTTTCTTCATAACTTGCTCAGTGTCAAAGATCTGACCATCAGTTAGGACAAAGATGCTTCTCGGGTACTTATAATCAGTTGGCATATCGTAGATTTCATCCAGAGGCTCACTTAGGTTTGTTCCTCCAAGATCTGCCTTCATCATTTCAATCTTTGCCAAAGCATCATCAATATTTTCTTTCGAGTATGGTACACTCTCAGGATACATGATATCCAACCTTGTACCGAATCCGACAATGTTGAACTTGGAGACTGATGGCAGACTTTGAATGAACAGCTTCAGAGCATCCTTTGCAATCTTAATCCTGCTACCTCCCATCGATCCACTTCTGTCAATAACAAAGATGAACTCTCCGCTTGCAATGTCAAATTCATCTTCTCCAGAGGTCTTAGCAGCTTCATCATCTTCAGATGGGATTTCTTCTTCAGCAACCTCTTCTTCGTCAGATATCCTTGGAATGCAAGTGATGTGAGCAAGCACTTCCTCAGGATGCTTGTCTGAAGTCTGCAAAGTGATCTGAGGCTTTCTGATTTCAGGTGTCGAGAAAGATACGACTATGTCTTTCGAATTTATTGATGAGCTTTCTTTCAATGCGATGGTGACTCTGTTTCCAGAATCATCTTGCTCGTGTACCATCTCTGAGTGAGAAACACTCAAGTCTGAGATTGTACTTGAGGCTTCAACTACAATGTTGGCTGAGAATTCTCCTGGGATGTTTCTCTTCATGTTGTTTTTACCATAGCTTGATGTGATAATACCAGGAATAAAATTCATTGGAAAGATAAATGAGTAAAAGCCATGCTTGGTGATGTCGCATTTGGCAGCCATCTCTACACAAATCTCAACAGTTTTCTTTGGTTGGATCGCGCCAATCGCAAGTTCTAGCACCTCTGGGATGTTCTCATCATAGTTGATCTTTGCGGCAGTGTTACCTTGAGCAACAGCATCATCATATTTTTCTTTGGCTTCTTCTTTCTCCATGATAACAGCATTAATTTGTTTATCATCAAGCTTGATTTTGACTCCTGTGACGCTGAAGAATTTGTCAATCGGGAACTTATAGATCACTTCAATTGGAGATTTCTGATCGTTCTTAAACATCTGGGTGTAGTCGATGCTTGCAGTCGAGTTGAACACTCTTGCATCGAGGTGAGACTTCTTTAGTGGAACTTCTTTACTTTCATTTGTTGTGTCATAAAGTCCGCCAACATTATTGATGTACCAGTTAGGCTTTCTAGGTTTTCTTCATCTACAACAAGATCTTCCACTGAAGATCTTCTGGTAATTTGCTACAGGAAGGTTATCGCCAGACACAGAGAGAGTTTCTGCCTCAACCTCCTTTCTTGTTGACAATCTCTTTGGTTCTTGAACTTTTTTAGATTTAAATCAAAACATTTGTATTTACTTAATTAATGATTAATTTTTGCCTTATATAGTAACTTGAAATTTTCATTCTGCCAGATATTTCATTCTGGTCGAAAAGTTGGTTGATCTTTGAGCAATTTCCGAGGAATGACAAAGACACTACTGAGGAAAAGGAGAAAGTCTTTTTTGTATATAGCTTAGTATTTTCCTTAAAATTTAGATTATTTCTCGTAATCTTAACAAATATGCTCTCCTTTCAAAAAAGTTGTTTATTAATTTTAGATCCATGATGTTTCTCTTACTGAAAATACTTGGTTATAGGTAGCAATGTAAGCTAACCTCACTTGCAGATTTTCATGCAACCATCATGACATATGGTCGAGATATGGGAATATCAGAATTTTAACAGAACATCACAATGATGTATTATTTAATTGTCAGATACCTTTTCAGCCCTCGGATACTTCTCAGGGGTTTTGGGGTTTTGGGGTTTTGGGGTTTTGGGG